GATTGCAGCATGACTTCTGCATCCTTGTACTCCAGTTCCTTTTATATCTAAAGGCCAGCATTTTGTTAACTTCCTTGATTATTTTCTGCATCTTTGCATGACATTTTAAAGTCTGTGCACCTGAACCCTGCTCCCTGCCCAAGTCTCTTTGACATTCACTATATTTAACCTATTACCATCTAGAAAGTACCTTGATCTATCCTTTTCTGTCCAAAATGGATCCTAGTGCAGTTGAAGGATACAAATGACTAACAATACTGAGATATCTGCTGGGAACAGGACAATGAGGCAGGAAGATGTCTGTGAATTCAATCCAAGTCTGAGATGAAATAATCATTGCTGTATATTCCAGCCCCACATTTTCCCCTCATCTGTCATAGGCCTGGGGCATTGAGAAGCATCAATGGATGGATGTGATTGTGATAACTCGCGTTGCTATGTGACTGGCTGCCTATGAAACTGAGTCTGGACATTGCCACTTGAGTTGTGTTATATGAGACTTTGAGATATCTGGAGCCTGCTGATTTAGTGTTGAGCTCTCCTTATTCACAGGTACCCCAGCCTCGATGAGTCAGATTGCTAAGGACGTCTGCACATTCCTGCGCTGGACTGCTGAACCAGAACACGACCAGCGCAAACGCATGGGCCTGAAGGTCAGCTCCATAACCTAACTTTGTTACAATAACAATGTCTGCCTTTACACCCATTCCTATTGAGATAACTGAGCAATTGTCTGGGCCATTAATAAGGCCACTTGGAAATTAAATATTAGTGTAGGACTAGAATCACATATAGGCCCAGTGTGGGTAAACACAGCATTAATGAACATCAAAGCAAAGCAAAATAATTTAATGCTGGAAGTTCTGAAGAGCAGTCATATTCGGCTCAACGTTAACTCTGTTTCCTTCTTCGCAGATGATGCCAGACCCACCGAGTTTCTCCAGCATTCTATGTTTCCATTACAGTAATGAATATAGAATTGATGTTGGACTAGCTGTTGGAAAGGGCTATGTTTGAATGCCTGGGAATGGGGAGGATGTTATTCTGTGCGCTAATGTAATCTCTTTGCGTCAGGGAGCAGCATTACTAGTAAACATCTTTACAGACTGCACTGTTGAAGCCTCTTTTTCACAAGACTTCAAAGCAGGAATATTGGTAAAATCGGGAACAAAAACAGAATTTGCTGGAAAAGCTCAGCAGGTCTGGTAGGATCTGTGAAGAAAAATCAGAATTAACGTTTTGAGTCTGGTGACCCTTCCTCAGAACTGTTCTGAGGAAAGGTCACCGGACCCTAAATGTTACCTCTGATTTTTCTTCACAGATCCTACCTGACCTGCAGAGCTTTTCCAGCAAATTCTGTTTGTGTTCCTGATTTACAGCATCTGCAGTTCTTTTAGTTTTTAATGTTGATAAAATGATTGGTGCAGGAATTCCACATTCCTGAAGGAACAGAATGTGTGTTCATGTACATCATACATTGAGAAATGTTACTTGACAACTTTGACTGGAGAAAATGGGCACTGTGCTTCCCTGTGGCTCAAAGGGGAAAATACACATTGTTGCTGATTCTGATAGGATATTGAATATTCTGGTCTCTGCCTAGTTTGCTACCTTTTCCTGGAGTGACAGTAAAAAGGATGAAAATAGTGGGCCTGTATTTCTCCTCATTGCTTTCTGTGGTCCTCCACTGGAACTTGCCTAATTTGATGTTGACTGAGCAGTATTGAACTCAGTCTTACTGTCATCTCTGTTTATGGGAGGGACAAGAGTCCCTTGGCTACAGGACCAGCCACTGTCAGTAACAATGGAAACCTATCTCAGTACTCACCAGAGGGAGGAATTTGTGATAATGGGGAGGAGTGGCAATGGTGACACATTAAATTTGTGTCCTACAGTTTTGCATGACTGAGACTTTTATGGTGCCTTTTGCAATCTCAGTACATCCCAAAATGCTTCACAGTCAATCTGGTGTTTTTGAAATGTAGTCACGTGTATTACAGCAGAAGTGGACTAATTCAGTAGCTCTTTCAAAGAACCACCACAGGAATAATGGGCTGAATGGTTTTGTTCTTTGCAGTAAGGTGCTACAGTTGAGCCTCTTTTCTTTTACAGATGCTAATGTTCTCGGCTCTGTTTTGGCCACTGCTTTACTACTTGAAGAGGCACCGATGGTCTGTTTTAAAGAGTAGGAAGATCGCCTACAAACCTCCAAAATAACTTCTGACCTGGGATGCTCAACTCCAGGACCTGACCTGCATTCTCTGCCAATGTGTACACAACCTGGACTTAACAGGGATAGTTTCTGGGGCAGGGGTGGAGAGACAAACAGTTTAAAATACCTGGACATTCGGCAGGGGCTTTACTAAAGCATGGCATTATTAAAAATATCTATTGTCAGATTCCTCAAATCAGTGGGTGGATTGCTGGCTGTGATTTAAACTATTGATTTGCTCCATTGACTGTCTAACAAAGGGCCTTGATATTTTTAAAACGAGTTTTAGAAATAAACTTGGGACAATGCTGCTCTCCGGTAGCTGGTGCATATTGTCTTTCACAAGCAATAACTTGGATACAAGTCCTGATTTTTCCCTTCACAGAATTCAACCTTCAAACAGGAATTCTGGAGACCTTACACAAATAACACATCAGTGGCACCAGCGATGGGGAAGGAGGTTCTCTTGTCTCATTAGGGCTCCTTTGAGCTGCTCAATGGCCTAGTCCATGGGGTGTAAATGCTAGTCAAAATAGTTAAGAAAACGTACCATTCCGAATGATTTAAGGAGCAGTTGGAATCCCCACGTTGTCTGTCAAATGGCGATTCATCCTCATTTTAACTTATCTCCCAGAATATATTGTTTTTGTGGTAACGTGTTTGGTCCTACTGTGAGTTGAAGGATTCCTTTCAGTAAATTATTACTGTACACAGCATTTGTGTAAATATTTAATGTTTAATAAATAATATGCTATGGACCTGTTCTGCATTAGTCCTCCACCTGTGTCCATCTCTGTCCTGTCTGCACCTTTTGCATCGATTTGTAGACATAAGAAATAGAAGCAGGAGTAGAGCATAAGCCCACTGGATCCACTCCACCATCCAAAATTACAGCTGATCTACTTTGACTCCATTTCACTGTCTGCTCATTGTATCCATTTGATTCTGAGAGAATCAAAAATCATCAATCCCAGCCTCTGATATATCCAGAATTATATTTGTGGTGCATCTACAAACCCATAGGATTTAGAATTCTAAATATTCACAATTTGAATGAAGAAAGCTCTCCTCAATCCTAAATATTGGGTCCTTTATCTGTGATTACGCTCCTACATTCTAAATTCCCCAGCCAGGACAAAAAAAATCTACCCTGTCAAACTCCTTCAATGAAATTGGACTTCATTTTTCTAAGCTGTACCCTGTTCATGTGGCTTATATATAGCTGAGACTTAGTCATTGTTACAGGCACAGTATGCTTTATGCTGATTCCACCTCTGTTTTGGGTTAATTAACCAATCCTCTATCCATGCTAATACATCACCCCAACTCCATGAGCCTTGATCTTCCTTATTAACTTTTGTGTCACACCTCATCGAAAGGTATTTGAAAATTCAGGTATACGATATTATTGGTGCCTATTATCTGCCCTAACAGTTAACATTCTGAAAACTCCTTTCAGTTTCCTGATTTTCTAAGCACCTTCAGACTTCTTAATAGATCCCAGCATTTTCTGATGACTATTGCCATATAGATTAATGTCTATTTCACCCCATGTGAAATGGTGTTATATTGCTAAACTCCAATTTGGGGTTTTATAAAGTTGGAATAAGTGCATCCACTATCTCTGGATCAACATGAAGGTGGATAAGTTCCCAGGTCCCAACTGTATCTACCCCAAGTTACTGACAGAGACAAGACAGGAGATTGCTGGGGCCTTGACCAAGATCTTTGTATCCTCACCAGCCACTGGAGAGGTGTTTTTAGATAAACACAGGAATATGCAAGGAATGAAGGGATTTGGGCCAAGGTCAGGCAGAAAGGGTTAGTGTAACTCGGCATCATGTTCAGCACAACATGGTGGGCTGAAGGGCCTGTTCCTGTGCTGTATTATTCTATGTTCTAACAGCTGAGAGAGTGCGGTCTATCAGGTTACGGGAATTGCCCTGCCTGTGGCTGTGTGGGGAAGATACTCTTTCTGAAACCCAGTGCTCCAACTACATCCCACCCCGTTCCTGTAAATATCCCCCTCAGCACAGACACCCATCCCCCACCCCCACCCCGTTCCTGTAAATACCCCCCTCAGCACAGACACCCATCCCCCACCCCCGTTCCTGTAAATACCCCCCTCAGCACAGACACCCAGCCCCCACCCCCGTTCCTGTAAATACCCCCCTCAGCACAGACACCCTCCCCCCACCC